GTAAGGCGACGCAAAATGTACAGAATACGGCAAACCATCTACAAATGCCCTCGGGACAGGTTCATCCACAAATGCATCCCAATGTCAACCCTGGTATGCCGCAACTGATTAGCCAGTTCCACGCTGCCTTCCCAATGTTCAATCTCCACGGCGGGTCTGGAGCGGCTCCTCAACTTCTAGACTTGGATCAGATACAGGCTCTCCAGCAGCAACGCCTGTTGTTCGATATGCAGCAACACAGTTCCCAACAAGCTCAAACGAATGCCACCGAACCCAGCATCCCAAATACTTGTTCGGACGTATTGACTTCCTCTAAATCCACACCTCCAATGGGTCACGTGACTGCCCCGAGTGCTAGCCTGCGGCCAGACCTGCTCGCTTCAACACTAAGTCATCATCAGATGCTGGGACCCACTGCCGCTGCCGCTCCCTTCTTGCCCTATCCCGGCTTTCTCGTAATGGTAAGGTGTTATTTTCGTACTGATTGTTTTCTAGAACGGGTACCCGAACGCTTTCCTGAATCAGCAGCAGGCATCACAGCCCAGCGTCACTCAAAGTCAAAACCCAGGGCACCAAGGATCTCCCTTGACTCAACATCAGCCAGCTCAGCAATATGTTAAGGGCATGAATTCTACGTCCAACTATCAAGGTTACCAAGGCATGCGCCAGTCTAATTTCGATGACTTAGGGGACATACCTTACCAGAATATTGCTAAACAAGGTGAGCCTCCATCATCCATTTGTGTCCCTATTCAGCTGTTCTTCTCGTTTGTACACATTAGGTAGCTACTGTAGTGCTGTTCACTGCTTCGCGCAGTTACTATAGACTCCCTATTATGCAAATCAGGACGCTGTGATTGATTAATGGGCTTTTAATTAGGTTGACAGTGCTACTTTGACCAACGATTTTGAAATCGTCCACCGTGTGCCTTAGAACATCAGAGACGATGATTTGCGTTTGGATTAGTTAATAGTGGTGAACTTTCTCAGCGTTTACAACACTTTCTTCTTTACCTACTTGGACCCAATATCAAAACGAAGTCAGGAGGCTCAGAAGTGCATCGGGTGCACGTAGCTGGCGTTGCGTAAGTCTGCACCTAGGCGGGTCACCACACAATCCATGTATGGCGTTTGTTATGGATGCGTAACTCCATTAACGCCTGCCGTCCCATAGTCCGCCCTCATTCTTGCTTAGCGAATCTATCGTGTGGTCCGTTGTAGGAGGTAATTGGTGTGTGACACACTTTCCCCAGCTCTCATCCAACGGATCGTCCTTAAAATATAAATAAGGTTGTAATTACTTTCTTGAGATCTGCTTTTTAGCTCGGAAGGCTGGTACGCCTGGATGCAGAAACCCATACACTAAGCCTGTAAATGTTACTAAGTATATGCAACTTAGCGTGTTTAATGCCAGTGCCATCCTATGCGGCATTGATGCGGTGTGCTAATCGTGTTTCCGGGCTTGGACATATGCAACTTTACAGTCCTCTGTCACGGTCATTTTTATTCTATAGTCCGTGTTCTGTCAAGAGGACAGCATATTCCGACGATAGCATGTTTCCGGGAAAAGAGACTTCGGACTTCTGCTTAACAGTATAGCAAGTCATGACTATGGGAGTAAAGGTGTTTCACAGCATGTTAAAGACTTTCTAGTAGGATCACTATTTTTACTAAGTGGCGCTGTGATCTTTTCCCCGTGGCTTACCTTCATAGCTTTTTACTAAATTATCTTCGACTTTCCGCCGTCCTTCTAGACCATATTCTTAACTATGTGCGTTTTTCATACTCTTTTCCTTATAACACCTACTGTTAGTGTTTCATGAATGCCCGACTATCCGTTAATCCAGAGTGTCTTTGGGAATGCAAGCGAACATGCAAGTCCCAGGAAGCTATTGAGAAGAAGAAGACTCGATCGCTGGGACAATACGTTTATTAGCCTGACGTTTC